AAATTGCGTTGTTTCCCCTCTTCACATAGGCGACCCAATGAGTATCCAAACCCATCGAGTCGTCGAGATTCACGGCTGCTCTCGTTGCGTCGCGCCTTCGATGGTAATGCGTCACACATAAACACTCCTCTGAAAAAGGGCACTCGCAGACGACACGCCGAGCGGTTCAGCTGTTCGTTTGTCGTAATGCCGGAGAGCGGTAACTCGAGCGATCTTAACGTTTCCTTCCACGATTTTTTTTTTCGTTTTTCTCGTCACATCGCTGCCACATTTGTAAGGCGCTAGGTACAATCCGTGACCTTCCATCGCCCGATTGTGACGTTGCAATTCCTCCAGTTGACGCCGTGCGGTTTTACCGGCGTTCACCGCTTTCGCGACGCCCGCCGCGCCACCGATCAAAGAACCGAGCGCGCCTAATATCGGAAAAATGGGTAAGCCTCTGCGTTTCATCATTGGAAGTATCCTCCTCCTCGTCTTCCTCTTCTTCTTTCTCAAACCCATGCCTAGCTTTGTTTTTGCTTTCATAATAATTCATACGGTCGCGGCGGCTCTCTCGCCGAAAGTGGAATCTCTGGCCGTTATACGTTCGCGCGCCTTCTCGGCGAGAGCTCGGTCAGCGTCGTGGCGATCGGCGAGTTTCTTATTTCGCGAATAGGCGATGTCGTGCTCGCGGAACGCCGCGTCCCACGGGTTTACGCCTCGATCGTCGCGCGCCAATCGCTTCGCGAGATGGGTGCCGGGCCCGCAAAATTGATACTCAGAAATATGTAGTTCGAAGGGAAGCATGTTTATCGCCGTATCGAGTAATTCTGCGCCGCTAAGCATTCGTTACAATTCTTGATAAGAGACGCAGGACCGTCTATATGCGATTGATCGTTGCCACAGACGATTATAATGCTCCAGACACATGCAACAACATTGCTCCTCGGGATTCGCTCTCAGATGATTGGGTAGTCTGTTCCATGTATCTGTCGAAATTGCGCACGAGAACGATCTCCGGGACAAGTCGCAACTGTTCGACGGATAGAGTGAGAATATCTCGTTATCCGTCAATAGGAGAAACATATCGATCATTGTGCGCGATCGAATCGCCGTCGAGTATAAGTGAAGCGATTATCGGTCGCGTCTCCTCGAAACGAGCGCGCGTAAATGCGATTTGTTCGACGGTCGCCGGCTATAGGAGTGCCCAATCTCGACCGTAAGACTCGACGAATCTCGAGGGACGCGGTCGGGAGGGTGCGCAGACACGGCCCTCTACTACCGAACACGATACGTTGCATCATTTGCGGCCCCTCCAACTGCGGTAAAACGAACGTGTTGATAAGCATGCTCGAAAGTCCGCACGGCGCGCGCTTCGAGAACGTGTACGTTTACTCAAAATCCCTGCAACAACCGAAGTATCGATATCTGGTGGAGTTGCTCGAGTCGATAGACGAGATCGGCTATCGCGCGTTCTTAAACAATAGCGACGTCGTGCCACCGAGCGAGGCGCTTCCCAACTCGATATTCGTGTTCGACGATGTGGCCTGTGACAAGCAGAACGCGATTAGGGAATATTTCGCCATGGGTCGACACTCGAACATCGATTATTTCTATGTTCTTTGTTAGACATATGCTAAAATTCCGAAACATCTGATACGCGACAACGCGAATCTCTTGATTCTGTTTAAGCAGGATGGCACTAACCTATAGCATGTTTACAACGAGCACGTGAATATGGATATATCATACGAGAATTTTTATAGAAACGAATTGGAGGAATTGATCTCGAACGCGCAATGGGGACCGCAAATTAGGTCGCAAATATATGGGCGCGCTTCTAAGCGGGGACAGAGTGAGATCGATCACGTTTACGGGGTATACTTCGACTTGGATGGCTCGATGCTTGGCGACAGGCGATTCGACGTGGCCGCCAACGACAGCGTGATCGTGAGCGACACGCGATATCCGGGTACCCCGGGCTTATACGAATTGATCTTCAAGAGACTTCCCGACGACGCCGTATACACGGAAAGCGACAAGCAAACGTACAAGAGTATAGTGCTGACTACGAATGCCCATCGGTCACAACGCGCTTACTGCCCAGTCTAGGAAACAAAGGTTACAAATACAAGCATATTGAGCATATCGAGCTATTGCTCGATAGAGACAAAAGTGGCGCTGGTACTGGTAAAGCGAGAAAAAAAGGGATCGA